ACGACCCCCTCCTTCCTCGGCACCAGCCGCTGGTGGCTTTGCCTGCACTTTCATGCTCCGGACCGCCCGAGACCGGGCGGCAGTCTGAGCAGAGGCCGGCCGGGGCGCCCTCTGTCTTCGCGTCCTCACGCGGATGCGCGGCTCGAGCTACGAGGCGCCTTCCTCTCTTCCTGTCCCGGTCGCAGGGCTGCTGGAGAGTCGGCAGCCCAGCCTCGGTCGGCCACACGGCCCCTCAGCCGACCGCGCGAGGTCCCCGGAGGCGGCTGGGCTCCGTCCCGCGGAGGACCCGGCTCTGGGCGTTCGCGGAAGGGGGCGTGGCCTCTGGGCCGGGAGGCCTCTGGGAGTCGCGGTGCCGGCTCCGCCTGAAGCGGCCTCGCAGAAAGGGAAGTGGAAGGAGAAGAACTACATCTCCCAGGAGGCTCCGCGGTTCGCCTCCGGCGGGCGGGGTGGGGGCGTGTTCAATGCCTCCGCCCCGCTGAGCGCGGAATGCCTCCCGAATGTCCCCAGGGTGCCTCCCCGGCGTCTCCGAGCGCCTCCGTGAGCTGGGCGCCGGGAGTCCAGCCCGAGGGCCCCTGGAGCTCCGCTCCCTTATTCCCAAATCCCTCCGGTTTCCCCAGCGCCGGCTCCAGGCCGTCCAGGAATAGCACTGAGCGAGACTGGCCGGATCCCCGCTCTCAGGTCTCTAGCCAAGGCCGGAGCCTAGAGCAGAGCTACGGGAGGGAGGGACCCCGGAGGCGGCCTCTGCCAGGAGCCCCACGTGGAAGTGGGGAGGCGAGTTAGCCCTGCTGCCCAAGTCCAGGTTAAAGATGAGATGAGGATGTCAGCACTCTGTCGGTGGAAAGATGACAACTGGAGACTGGATTTAGAAGTAGAGCTCATGGGGAGCCTGGGGGGCGCAATCGGTTGGGTGCCCGACTCGGTTTGGGCTCAGGCCGTGATCTCAGGTTGTGATCTCGGGTGGTGGGATCAATCCCATTGTGGGACTCTGCGCTCAGCAGGGAGTCTGCTTGGGACTTTCCCTCTCCCTCTGCCCCTCCTGCTCGTGCTCTCTCTCAAATAAATACATAAATCTTAAAAAAAAAAAAAAAAAAAGTATAGCGCATGCACGTGATCGGCTGGAGGTGAGATGACAGGAAAGAAAGAGTGTGGCTTCTATAGATTTTTTTGCCTAATCAGTAGGGTGCCATGAACGGGCAGTGAGTGGGGTAGTGACAGTGCATCGGGGGTGAGAGTCAGTGGCGCTTGGGCTGTGGTTTGTGATGCCCATTGGACATCGGAGTGGAGATACTAAGCAAACAGGAGAGTGTAGGGGCCCACAAGGATGGAGGTGGGCTTTGGATCAAGGGCGCACGATGGAACAAACCAAATGGACCAAGTGGGGTCTGGGCAGGGGTGATAGGGAAGGACACAGAGCCTCAAGTGTGCATCTAGGAGAGGCGAATCTAGCAAAGGAGATTGGGGATGGCCAGTGACAACCCAGGACACCCGGTGTTTTTGAGTTCGAGAGGAGAGTTTCAGGAGGGAGGGACTGATAATCCACGAGTGCTTCACTGGAAGAAGGTTGAGCAAGAAACTTAAGACAGGACCACTGGACTTGGAAACTTGGCAGTCACTGGAGATTTTGACCAGGGCAGGGTCATTGGAGGGGAGGGAACAATGGCCTGACAGAGAGGCATGAAGGGAGGTGAGAGGTGCGCAAGTGGAGACAGCTAGCGTGAACAGCGCTTTTACAGAATGTTGCTTTCGAGGAGAGCAATGAGGCAGAAGCTAATAGGGTACGGCAAGTCCAAGGAGGTTTTATCTCCGCTTTCTCTAGATGGAGATATTTCAGCTTCTTTGCAGAATGAGGCAGAGGGAGGAGAGATTAGTGATGCAGCAGAGTCACTGAGAGGTCGGAGGGGACCGAATCCAATGCCTGCATGGAAGGCTGGCACCATACTGCATCATGATGGAAGGCAGGATGCCTGGGCAGAGGCCCACGTGGGTATGGTTGGCAGAATAATGGTCCCCCAAAGATGTCCGCATCATCATTCCTAGAACTTGTGAGTGTGTTACCTTACATGGCAAAAGAGGTTTTGCAGATCTGATTGAGGATTAAGGGCCTGGAGACAGGGAGATTATCCTGGATTATCCAGGTGGGCCCAGTCTCATCATGAGGGTCCTTAAAAGTGGAAGGAAGAGGGAGGCACAAGGGTCAGAAGGAGATGTGACTATGGAAGAAGGGTGTGATAGATGCATTGTTGCTGGCTTTGAAGGTGGAGGAAGGGGGCCACCAGCCAAAGAATGTGGGTGACCTCTGAAGCAGGAAAAGGAAAGGAAATGGATTCACTCTCAAGCCTCCCTGAGGGAATGTAGCTGTTCTGAAAGCTCTAGGCTCTTCTTTAGCCTAGTGAATCCTGTGTCAGACTTCTACAGAAATGCAAGATAATAAATTAATGTTACTTTAAGCCACCAAGTTTGTGGCGATTTATGGCAGCCACAGAAGACTAATACAGTGGGCCAGGGACTTGAAGTGGGAGGGAGGCTCATCTCAGGGAATGACGAAGCAATGCTACCAAAGTCAAGAGCAAGGCCTATGAGGGAGCCTTGGGGGTTTCAGAGAGGGGAGGTGGTATGAAATAGTTGTCTGGCAGAGTGGGAAATTTGCAAAGAGCTTTTGAAGGAATGCAGGCAGGAAGCTGGTGGTCCAGGCTGCAAAGAGGCGAAAGCAGCTCTCATAGAGGCTGATTGTGGTTGCCGCTCTGGGGACCACTTACATGTCTGGTAAAGAGGCTGCTCCTGAGGCACACAGTAGAAGCTGACTCAATCAGAGGTGGTAGGAGGGCAGGACCAGAGCTTTGGCTTAGTGGCTTCTGACCTGAGGAGGCGACACCCTTCCCTCCAGGTCAGCCTCCTGCACCTTGCTTCCCGAGTCCTGGATCCCCTTGTCCCTCTTCCAGGGTCTCTGGGAGTATGTGACAAAGTGTGGGCATGAGAGGAAGGAGTTGATGCTTCCAAACAGTCCCTGGCGGATGCCCCCCAAATGGCTTTAGGACTCATCACAGTGGCCTTTGGGCGCTGTCGGAAGCCACAGGCAACAGAGGTCTGCACGGGCACCTGTGCTCCATCCATGTCCCCATGGACACATCTTACATCAGTCTGTCTGGGGCAGCTAAAATAATCCCAGGAATAACGTTTCCATCCCTCTTGAGCCCTCCCTTACGGAGCTGCCTCTCCCACCCCGTCCCAACCTCTCCCCAGTCGCTAAAAATAAATTGCATCTGGTTAGAGCCTAGTGGCTGAGGTCTGAGACTGAACCACAAGGGAGCCAATGTGAAACACCCCTGGTGGCCAGGACCCGCCGGGAGGCTTTTGTCAAAGGGCTGCTGGGAAAGATGTTCTTGAAGCAAAGGCGCCCAACCAGAGAGGAGACCCACGTGTCAGTCTTGGGTTGTCACACTGCAGCCCCAGTCTGGGCACTGGCAACCCAAGCTGCTTTGGGGTCCTAGAGTAGGAGTGACCGGGCCAGGCTCCCTGTGGCAGTGACTGCTGTCAACTGACCACATGCTGTCTGCGGGCCCTGGCCCAGCCCAGGAGGGAACCTCCCTCCACCCTCGCTGCCCGTCCCATCCCCCTCCTTCCAAGGTCTCTGACCTCTTGGGCCCACTTTGACCTCTAGTCCAAGCTGAGTAGAGCCACGGGGGCTTTCAAGCCATGAAGGGGGAGGGTCTCCATGTCCCTGAACTCACTGGTACTGGGGGAAGATCCCTCTTCTGCCAGGAAAAGTAACCACCTCACACAAGTAGACTGACATCTGCATGACGCTCGTGGATCCTAAAACAGGTCTTTGAAAGAAACTTCCAAACCACACGGCTAGGAAGTAGGCATTAGTTTTGTTCCTAGAAGCTCACGAACCAGAGAATGGTCGGGGGACAGGCTGTTCCCCCGCTGCTTTGTTACTCTGGAGACAAACCCCATGGCAATGGTATCCGTCTCCAGGCTGCTGTGACACAGTTCCTGGAGAGGCGGAAGCAGTGTCCACTGTGAGACACGCCGCAGGGTGTCTCCTCTCCGCCACCACTGTGCTCCTCACGCTGCTGACAAAGGGTGAGAGCTTTTAGGAACATTCGCCAGCATCAGATACAAGAAAAATGCCCCTAGAGTAGTATTTACACATTAGACACATCAATGACGCCACATTGTTCAGTCCTACTCCAGAAGGGTAGCTAACTCTCCAAAATGCTTTATTTAAGAAAACTGGAACATTTGATGGTAACCTAATACACAGACTCAAGACGTCCAGGGAGCTTTGCTTCTCTCTGGCAGGTGGAGGAAGCACCTGCCTCTCCTGTGTCCTGACTCAAGTGGCAAGTTCAAGCTTCTGCTCAGGCCAGGGCTGTCAGGGTCTGAGGTGTCCCTCTGTCCCGTCACTAGTGCCCAGGCCCGAGAAGGGCTTCGGCACCATTCTGGTCACCTCTGCCCCCAGATCCACACAGTACCTGAGAAGGCTGGGACAGTGAAACCCTGGAGAACCCTGGTTCCGTAAGATTCCTCCTCCTGCCTGTAGCTCCTGCCCTCCACCCATGGGGGGGGGGACTGTGGGGTCCATAAGAGATACTTCCTTAAGAAACAGGGCTAGGGGCCTGACTGGGCTGATCATCCCAGACTGCCCTGCAACCCAGCCACTGGAGGAAGAAAGCAGGGCCTGGGGAGACAGCCAGGGCCCCTGCCCCACCACATCTGGACCACAGGGAGGAGGGAACAGTGCAAGGGAACGCCACGCCCACCCTCGCAAACCTCGGGCTGGTGTTAGTCACCAAGGCCTCCAGACGCTCTGGGCTATGCGGGCAGCGGTCAGGCTGCCCAGGCCCGCTGGCACCAAGTCTGGCCCTTCAGCAGGTGCTCGGGTCAGTTCAGCCTCGGGGGCCTCCTCCAGGTCGGAGCACAGGTCGTCCCCGGGGCCTGGGGGACTGGGCAGAGGGGACCCCAGGACCCCTCCCGTGGGCCAGCCGCTTCGCCCAGGGGCTCCCGGAGGCCCAGCCAGGGCGTCCCCCAGCAGATCCCGGAAGCTGCTGCCCTCGCGCAGAGGCATGGACTCGAGCAGGTGGTTCAGGAGTTCTGCGGCGACGGTGGCATCGATGGCCTGGCACGTGGACACGAACGTGTGCACCTCGTGCATGCACTGGATGTAGCCAGCCGCGAAGCGCTCGCTTGCTTCCGTCTGCAGCTGCTCGCGCTCTGCGCCCAGGAGTGGGAGGGAGAGAGCGGCGCCCCGTCGGGTAAGCAGCCACTGCGGTGGCCAGGCCCGCCCAGCCCGCGGGGACAGGGCTCACCCACGAGACCCGGAGGTCGCCCTCGCCGCCGACAGTGCAGGGGCGCCGGGCGGGAAGTCCCCAGTCCTCGGCCGGGGGCGGGCTGGGCGAACGCGCCCCGCGCCCC